AACACATTTTTACATTTATCCACATGAGAAGATAAAAATTATATTCTTCACACAAACACTTTTAACTTCATTATAACGTGTCAGCTGTGTAAATCCCTGAATGTAAAACTACTTTTCATAGCAGAACTTCTGTACTCTTGATGTGTAAACAGCTTCACTTCTAAGCTTAATAAAAACACTTCTTTGCTCCGTTGTCCTTAAAACAATTGATAAGAAGCTTAATTTGCTAAAGAAACACAAACACTATTTTAATTGTTCTTTAAAACTTAAACTGTCTGAATGTAAAACTGCTTTCCGGAACTGCGCTGCTCTGGGTGGATGTTGGAGTAGCTCTGTTGACTAAATATAAGTTTTGCCTTTTCTTGGGCATTTTTTCTCCTAGTTTCTCAAGAAAAACTGTATTTTTTTGGACACTTTACTTTTCTGTTTCTGGTGCTGTGAAGCTTGGAGGATTTTTCCTGCTATTTTTTTTTAGCTTTGTTCACTTTTTGAGCATTTGTTATGATGCGTAACCATGACAACAAGCTGGTTTACAATCGGGAGCAGCTGATTAACATTGGGAAGGATGAAATAATACCTCAACTGAAGCCACAAATCCCAAATGAGCTAAAACGCAAGAAGCGTGGGTGCAGAGCGGGAGCAAAACGAAGACAGAGAAAGAGGAAATTCAAACCATCTCTTCCATCGATCATAATGGGCAATGTGAGATCACTGGCCAACAAGATGGGGGAACTCCAAGCCCTTTCAAGGACTCAGCCAGAGTTTCGGCAGTTTCGGACCCGCTGGAGGAGATAATGCAAAGAAGGATTCTCCAGAGAATCAAGAACATGATGGACAACCCTGAGCATTCTCTTCACAAGACTGTCCGACAACGGAAGAGTGTCTTCAGTCAGAGGCTTCTTCAGTTTGACTGCAACACTGACCGCTACTGGAGATCCTTCCTGCCAACAGCCGTTGTAATATACAACAACTCTTTGATGACTTGATTATTATTATTATTATTCTGAGCTACTACAGCAATCAATTTCCCTCTGGGATTAATAAAGTATTTTTGAATTGAATTGAATTGAATTTTCACAGCAGAACACAGAAGAACTACTGTACTCATGTGCAGACAGCTTCACTCTTAACCTCTAAGCTTAATAAAAACGCTCTGTTGTCCCTAAAACAAATGACAAGTTTAATTTGCTACACACACACACACACACACACACACACACACACACACACACACACACACACACACACACGGGACTAACTACGGGGATCGGCGATACAAACTCGTTCTGGCTTATTTCTGCCTAAAATGTAATTTAAAAAACAAATATACAAACGAAAAATGTCTGTAAACAGAACCGCTTTAAGCTTTTTAGTTTTCTACGGCTAGTTTTTAACAAACTTAGGTTTAAAACTTCGTAGCTCTCCCCATTTTCTCTTCCCGTTGAAAATCCACAGCTGGCACGCAAAGCATGCTGGGATAGCCTTGTTCTGTGAGGATACAACAGACCCGTCCTCGAAATGTGGGCGGAGCGAGGACGCATTTGAGGACGTGAGAATGAGTATTCTTGGAATTCGGACAGTACTCGTCGCTGCGCTGTGACGTCATCTACCTCAAAATGCGCTCTTACAAGCATCCTTCCCGTGGATTCGGACACATGCTCAGATTTGGAGTCTTATTTCCTGATATTTGGAAAGTCTTCTTTCTGATTGGCTAACAGAAGCAAGACTCAGCCACTGACTCGGTGTGCTCTGCACCGTTGATGTTTTATCTCCACAATTAAACATGCCTGAAGGAGTTCTGCTGTGTGGTGGAGTTGCTAATGCTAACGGTTAGGTTCTACTAGCAGAAACACGCCCAGTCTTTCCTGGAGCAAGCCAAAATGGGCAAGAGTGACGATCTCATTTCAAAAGAATAAATAAAAATAGTTTCTCAGTTAACTTAGCCTTCAAAAAAACTCATTGTGTGCAGCCTGTGTGATTATGCGTAGACTCTGGTTCCAAAAATGGCAGCATCTAGCATCCCAGCTTCAGTTTGTAACAACAGGAGCAGATTGTTCAAGTTTTGTCTGGCTCTTAACCCGTTTCCATTGGGGTCTTTTATATATTAGAAGTGTTAATTGAGAAAGATTGTTAAACTTAGAGATCCATTTCATAGGGTGGTTAAAAAGTAGCAATACGAGATGAGTTTCCACTGTAGTAGTTACAGGAAATGTTTTGTAGGGTGGAAGGTGAAAGGAAAAATATGCAGGTTTGGTCCTCTCAGCCGTTTTATCTCCTTACAAAATCATCCATTTTGGGACTTTGCGAAGACGTCAGCATATTGCAACCATTTTGTCAACTAATCAACAAAAGGCGTCCACAGACATTAATCCCATTAAAAGTTTATTTCCGGACCGGAACTTAATCAATTCAGGTGAGCGGGGAGAGCGGCTGTGTGATGGAAAATCTGCATTCAATGACCAGAAGAAGCGCTGTTTTTACTGCGCTCTGAGACCACATAGCTGTGAGATTTTGTGAGGATTTCCACTGCATTTTTCAGCATTGGGAAATTAGAAATGGCAACATCCTTTATCCTTTCCTTCCTTTCTGCTTCACCAGCAACTGTTCCAATTTTACAAACACCGGTTGTTTGGCGACGTCTGCCGATGTCATTTTCTACTGATTTACAACCAATCAGCATGAGTTAGGCATAAGTCCCACCCAGCGACTGTACCACGCCGTTTTGGAGTACATACCTCCATTAAGGTACTCAATTTGGCCTGGAAAGTGGCCCTTTCGGGCCAGCCCAATGAAGTCGAGACACAGGACTGCATGGTGGTGCAGTGGTTAGCACTGTTGCCTCGCAGCACGAAGGTTGCAGGTTCGAAATTTGGCTCGGCTGTGGCCTTTCTGCGTGGAGTTGCGTGTTCTCCCCATGCATGCGTGGATTTCCTCCGGGTACTCCGGTTTCCCCCACAGATCACAACGTGCCCTGTAGGTTATAAATTGTAAGTCGCTTTGGATAAAAGCGTCTGCTAAATGAATAAACATGAACACGTACATTCCATGAAGGTTCGATACATTTATCCAGATGTTCCAGTAAAATTACCTGGAAGTTATGATAGTGGTACTCATTTCCAAATGAATGTTTTTTAGCAGGCTGCCCTGTTTCATAGTTTTTCTTTCCCCTTTGGCCTCATATACGTATATTCACTACAGGCTATGTTACAGGATTCTTTTGAAACCTTGGGATAAACGGTGGAGCAGTTATCAGTGGCCTCACATCATGAAGGTCACAGATTCTACTCTCAGCTTGGACCATTTTGCACGGACTTATAAGGCATTAACAGGGTCACCCTGAGTGCTCCTGTTTCTTGCACGGTCCTAAAACATGCATGTCAGAATAACTGGTGAGTGCAGTCTGTGCATACTGGTTTATCCCTTTTCTCTCATTCCAAACAGATTGTACTTAATAAAGCACCTTTTTATATGTTAAAAGGTGTATTTTTATTCTTTCAATTGGCTTTGGTGGATCACTCCTTCAAAACCAGAGTAAAAAGTCGTCAGTGCAACAATAGAGAAAAATAATACCGCCTCTCAACGTCCATTGTATGAAACCTGCTACTTTTGATGCGATTCCCTGCAGAAATGCCATTGATAAAGGCTTCTTTGTCTGCAGCCAGCAGGCAGGGAGAAACCTCGAGATAATTTGGCCTTACCGGAGGGGAGTAAACAGAGCGAGGCATGAGAGGGTGAGGGACGACAGGGTGAGGACACGAGACACAGAAAGGGAAAGAGAAGCAGAACAGAAAAACCTTAATAGCCAGTGAAAAGTGGAATGATGAGGAGAGGATGTAGGAGAGACGGAAGAACAAACAAAATGAGACCTGAGAAAACAAAGGACAGTAGGGGAGGAAGAGGTAGCGTGATAGCTGGGTAAAGGTCACGTTTAAATTGGCTCTTGGGGAGCTGCTTCCATGGAAATGCTTAGAAGATTAAAGCGGTCTCAGGCTTTGGAGCAGAAAGCACAGAAATACGGTGTCTTCCTATTAATGAATCTCACCTTTTCAGTCTTCCTCTTCATCACTTTGTCCTCTGTTTAACTTTTTTCTGTTCTCTCATATCTTCTTATCCAGCTTCTATCTTTTTTTGTTTTCTCTGCTTTCTTTTAATAAACCTGTCCTGGAGCAGGGGCGGATTTAGGACTGAAGAAGATCCGGGGCTTAACACACACACACGCGCGCGCGCACACACACACGTGACACACACTAGTCAACGTCATATATGTCTTGTACCACATAATTTTTAATCTGAAGCTACATATGAAGCATATTCAGGGCAGAATATTGTTCCTGTTAGTGTTTAGTGTGAGATGATAGTAAATATTCCCTTTCTTTCTCCAACAACTTTACCTGATAAGCTAACTTTAGGCAAACCAGCAGCACAACAAATATTTTCAAATAAGACTCAAAAACCTGAGTTAGCACCAGTCTCATCAAAGCTGGGGTTCTGTCGTTGTACTTTTGGTCTAAAAAACGTCCTTATGTCCATCTTCACTCATGCGTTTCAGGCAGAGAGTGTAGAAGAAGCCGGCTGCTGAAGGGCTTCTTCTTCAGTGGTGGAGGCTCAGGCAGGCTGAATACAAACTACTGCCAGCTGCTCCCTCTCTGTTGGACTTTGGTACTGCATGTTACTTCTGCGGTTTAGATCCGGGGCTTCAGCCCAAGTAGCCGGGCCTAACGCCGCCCCTGTCCTGGAGTTAATGAGGCGTTTTTCTTTTTGAGTTTATTCTTCGCTTTCTGACATTTTTTCAAAACTTCTGCTTTTATTCATAATACTCACTTTATTCGTTCCAGGCATTTGCTTTTCTTGCCTCTGTTGGTTGGGAATATACATTTTTTTACACTTACTTGATGCAAAAATATTTTTTCCCCTTGCATCAACATTTTGCACATCAAACTTCACGTGTTACATGTAGCCCTGTTGACATGTTGCATATTTTCTCTTTTTTCATGACTCAGAGAAAGAACTTGATGAGTACTCGGGGTACTACTCTTCCAAACGTCGCTCCAACAATGCGCCACCTTCCTTCCACTCCTCGCAGCACCACCTGCCCTGGGCGGGCGACTACACGTTGGGATCGAGGGGCACGTTGCCTCTCCATGGCTCTCGACCGCATCTCCACATCCCTGCTTCTACTCCAAACCCATACCCTCTGCCCTCCCAGACCCCGTACACCAGCTCCACCTTCGATAGACCGCCTCGTCGCGTCCGCTCCCAGGACCAGCTGCTGGCGCTCGGGGAGGGTAACACCCTGTCCCGCCTGTCCAAAAACCAGCAGCACCAGTACTACAAAGCCATGATGAGTACCAGCAGGAGCTCCACATCGCAGACGCTCCGCAGGTGAGTTCAGAAAAGAGACCTCTGTGAATGACCTAGGGATGCATCGATCAGGTTTTTTGCTGCCGATTACCGATACCGATCACGTGGATTGGCCAGAAATTTTCTACAACATTATAATGAGTGCTACAAACTACATAATCTGGGAATAAAGGAAATGTAACCTAATCTAAAATGGTCTGTATTAGGGTTGTCACGGTGTGAAAATTTAACCTCACGGTTATTGTGACCAAAATTACCACGGTTTTCGGTATTATCGCGGTATTTTTTTTAAATGTGCTACATTTTCACACAATTAAATAAACCCTGTATGTCAGGAAATATTGTCCTCAGTTTGTGTCTAAATTTTGCCCTAAAATGTGTTATTTTGTAATGTTGTTTATTTGTTTACATTTTTCTCCTTTAGTCTTTAAAATACCAATATTTGCCCATAACTTCTTATTTTATGTCTGTTTGATGTCATCATTTAAAAAATATTAGATCAGATGATACTCAGTACTCAAGTAGCCTTCTAATCAGATACTTTTTTACCCTTACTTGAGTAATAAACCCTATATCAGGAAAATATTGTCCTCGGTTTGTGTCCTTCCAGTGAGCTTTGCAGATGTGGGAAAATGTCATCAGGCAGTAATCATTGTTAAATTCATAATTATTCTCGGAGAGAGACCAACTCTTATCTGCCCCTGGGAGCCCCGTAATGCATAGCGTCATTTCAACATGGGGGTGTCCGCGACACGGTTTATATGCAGGTAGCGGCGCTGCGGCTGCTTTATATAGCGACTCGTTGCATTCTCCCTCAACCCAAATCCTCGGATCACGCATTTTAGCTAAAACGCTAACGTTAGCTTGCCTTGCGTTGACTGTAGAGTTGTGGGTGATGGTCATCAGATGTGTCATGAGATTTGAAGCGTTGCTGCCTTTCACAGACACTTTTTCTGCACGTGCTGCAAACAGGATAGCAGTCCGTCTTCTATAAACTCCCTCGGCATTCTTCAAATATCCAAAAGATGCCCGTACTTCCCACTTTGTCTTCTTTGAGGGATAAAAAATGTCCTCCTGAGCGCTGCCGTCTCCTCCTTTGGCCATTATTTCAGCTTTAGCTTCAAGAAAGTTTTGGTTGTAAACAACAAAGTGCGCATGTGCCGCCGGCAACTTCAGCAGATGATACGGTGGCTGGTAAGGGTCACCGCGCCGACACCGCAGCCACGGTAATCCACCGAGATAATATAGTTTTTATAAAACAAGACGGTTATTATTATTGTCAACTTTTTTTTTACCGGGGTTTACCGCTACACTGGTTACCGAGACAACCCTACCTGATCGGTCTGCTTTGATCTATTTTGAAAACTCCGATCAAAACCGATAGGGGCGCTATCGGCCGATTACGATCAAATGCCGATCCATCGGTGCATCCCTAGAATGACCGCAACACTGGTCAAAATTCTGTTAATTTATTAAAATATTTACTTATAAATTCTTTGTAATGGATTCAGTCAGTGAGCTGTTTTCACTTTGCCGCTTCTTCTCTTATTTATTAACAACCTGGGGTTCCAGGTCCCATGAGCGACTCTTGGTCTCACCAGACCGTTTGGATGACCGGCTGATGATGATGGGTATGCCTGTGGCAGCAGCTGACAGGGGAGCTGGAAGTGGGATGTTCCCTACCATGGGCCGCCTCAGCCACCACCAGAAGGCCCAGTCGCAGCAGAACATCTGCGTCACACCTTCCATGGACCGCCATCACATGATCAAGATGAACTCCCACCCAACGTCAGGCCACGAGCACGAGCGCAGCTCCGCAGCCGTGCCCGGGATGGGGATTCACAGTGGCTGGGACTCTCACGGGGGCCACAGCGGAGGCGGAGTGGGGACAACGGGAGGTCATCCCAATGCCCGGCGGATGGCGTTCGCCACCAAACGGCAAAACACCATTGAACAGCTGCACTTCATCCCTGGAGGAGGAGGAGGGCAGGGCCTGCGAACTGGGAGTAAGAATGAGGTGACGGTGTGAGTGGAAGACGAAAAGAGCTACAGGACTGGTGAAGGCAAAGGTTGTAAAGAAGCTGAAAACAGGAAAGCAGTTAGTTGGAGAATAAAGTGAAGAGATGACAAGGAAAATTAAAAAAATGAGGGAGAGTTTTAGTCCCAGCTGGCTGTTCCCCCTTTAAAAAACTACAAAAACAAACATTGTGAATGACATTCATTTCATAGTGAGTAAAGCCAATTGATTCCCTTCGCGTCACTTTATGTATTAAAAAAGAGAATATTCAGCCATTCTTTGTAACGGGAAGAAAAATTCCCTCGTGAAAAAAGAGCAAAAAATGCAGCTCAGAAGCTGCTAGGTATTGGCTGTGACTTTTATTGAAGGATTTCTGCTGAGTTGTTGAATTGTCCTTTAGTTTTATGACATTGTCCTTTGAGTCCTTGAGTGCTCTGACAGAAAATTCATCTGTCTTTGAATCCACTGCGGATGATGAAGAGCCTCGAGGCAGAGATCGACAGCTTTGCTTGTTGTATAAAGATATTTAAAACCAAACAAGTAACTTTTGTATGAATTTAACTTGATGATATTAACATAACTGAGCCCTGTAGGATTTTGTGTGTACCTAGTTGAAAACATATTTATCCTTAGCCCAGGTAGTTTGTAATTCAAAGGCTGTGTTCGGCCAATCATCGCTTTTTGTAGTTGTGATTCGATTATCGAAGTCAAAAACTGCTAAAACACTCCAGCCAAGTGCTGTTAATTGTCATTAATGACTTTATAGCATCATTAACTTAAGGATAAGTAAACAAATTAAAGATTAATTAATAAAAGAAGACCTTTTTGAATTATATGCCTATCAAAATGGCTCAGTCACACCAGCATTTCATAATAAAATTAAAAAAAAAATTAGGCTTAATTAAAAATATTTAGTTAAGCTTCAACGTCCTTCAAGCTGTAGGAAGCTAATCACAGATTATGAGACTTGTACTGTTTATATTTGTCATCGTGGGAACAGCATGTGCTGCCATCTATCTATACAACAGGGTTACAAAAGTGCCAGTGTTCACTGGTCTGTGAATCGAGGGGAATCGGTGTAAAAGCCCCAAAATGTAAACAGAACACATTTTTTAAAGACCCAGTGTTTGCATATGCATATTACTAACTGGGTTTCATGCCAAATATGTCATTTAATTTTTTTTTTTTTTTTTTTTGCTATATTGGTAAAATTTTGAAATGATTGTTATGTGCAATCGCCCTTGGTGTTGCAGGATAGTTTCAGCTCAGTCAAATTCACTGAAATTTTACCGTTTATGTGTTCGATAATGTTGGTTAGCGGTGGCAACCATTCTGAATGGGGTTCATGCTTAAGGATAAACAACTATAGATCTAAATCCAGTGAAGACTTTCATTAAAATCCATTCAGTGGTTCATAGAAGAATATAAAATACTTAATAATACTACAGGTGGAAGAGTCACTCGTTAAAGCAGCACATACACTTGGAGAAAAGGATGAAGAGAAATAATAACAAAAGTACATGTGGGCAGGAAGTTATTATTGTAACTTTCAACCAATAAAAAGGAAACTTGTGTTTCCAAATTTATGCAGCATGACTCCGGCTTTCCACTGCACGTCAAAGTGTCGCGAAACTGCCGCAAAACGTACTACGCGGCATTTAGCCGCAGTTATAGTGGATGAGTTCCTTTCCACCGGCAGCTAAGTGTGACGTTATGCGCGCTCCCCAACAGCGAGGGCATGCTGTCATTACGCTCCAAGTCTTTTTGACGCGCTACGCTTCCCAAACACGTCAACCTCCGCAGTTAAGATCGAGTCAGACAGGAAGTCAAACACAAAGGCGGTGTAGAACATCCGAAAACTTTCAAAATAAATGTCACGTGCAGTAAGTCGTTTCCTGTGAACTTATGGAAACGATGTAAACAGAACAGAAAATAACCCACAGACATTTTTTCATGCATGCAGCTGTCTTTCTTTTTGTTTATTATTGTGTGTGGACGTCTGAAATCACGTGTGTTGTTTCAGTTCTCCTATGATTACGTGATGTGACGGGATCAGTGTGTGGAACGCTTTTGCTCCCGTTTCGCGTCAGAATTGCTCCCGGTTGGGAACGAGCTCACGGGCTGAACGCCTCTATTACGTTACGCGACCGCTTTCATGGCCAGTGGAAAGCCAGGGTCAGGGGCACAAACATACTAATGTGCACCCAGAATTGCGCAAGTATTGAACTCATTCTGAATATTGCATTGCACTGATGTTAGTGTGTAACAGAATAATGCCATTACCAGTTAAACTGAGGAGTTATACACTCTCACTGCAGTGGGAATGAATGATCTACAGTAGAAATCTGATTTACATCTCAGATGTCTCAGGCTGCCACTGATGGAGCTTTCCATGGTTTTCACAGTTTTTACACAATGTGTATTGCTTCAAAAACATGTTGTGGATGACTCTTAATTACAAAAACACCTAATTATAGCTCAATATCTATAAAACACACCATGTTATAGCCATTTATTTGTTTGTTTGCTAATGTTGATTAACTGCGGCAGCCATCTTGAATAAGACTGATCAACTCTAAAAGCATTTTTTAATTGTAATTTCTAGTTCAGACTTTTTGAGAGTTTCATCAAAATCTGTGATAACAGTCTGTGATAATGAACTAATGTTGGAATTTTAGTTGTTTCTCTTCCCCTCAAAAATTTCTAAATCCAACAATTTTTGGAAGATATTTGACTGCAGTCCTTTGTTTCTGGTGTGACTGAGCCTTTGAAGTAACATTCAGTATATAGTATAAATACTTCTATATTTTGCTAACTTTAAGCCTTGTACAGTGGATTCTAGTGAGTATATGTCATCTATGAAAACATAATAATTGAGAAAGCTTTGAATTTGACCTCATTGAGAACTGATCTGTGAACAAACATCTCGCTGCAACGTTTTCCAACTTTTCATCTGGAGTTTGTAGAATCGAGGGCTTCTTTTTTGCTGGCACTGAACAAAGCCTCCTGTATGTCGATGACGCCGCACTCTACCTGCAAGTTCAGCTGCTCACCTGGTATGAAAGGAAGGGGAAGTGGACGAGGTTGTGCGTGCGTGTGTGTGTTTGGGAGGGGTGGGGGGGGGGGGGCACTTCACACCAAGGGCTAAACCAGTTTATCTTTCTGTGTCCGTGCTATGAACAATGTCCACTTATCTTCGTCATTTCTTTTCTCTGTCTGTGGGCATGCTTGTGCTTATTTCCACTGAGAATTGACGCAAAGCAAACAAACCTTTGTGCTACGTGTCAAAGCACTGTTTCGTTGAATATTGTTGTGGGGGGATGAGCTGACAGTGGTGATGTCATTACTGTAACTTTCTTTTCATTTTTCTCTGATGGTGAGATGGACCTGCCGGACTTAGCCTTCGTGGGGCTTTATCGAGTTATGCTTCGATTCAGACCGACGTGATTGGTTAAAGAGGAAAGCTTCCTGCCAGTCATGTGCAGTGTTTTAATTCTTCCCTAATCTTTTAATTTTGTTTTAAGTCTTTAAATCTGTGATTTTTCATGAATATTCTTGGAATATTTTCTTATCTTTTATTTCCTTTCCGCCTTCCAAAAAGAAAAGCAAAACCTTTTAATTCTCGAGAATAAAACGAGCTGATGCAATCATAAAAGACGGACCGCGTGTGGATGTCAGAAGTCGATGTTAGTGGTGTCATGGTGCTGACTCATGATGTCACAGCGTGCAAGTTTCTAAACGTACATGTTCTACATGTGTGTCTTTTTCATCATAGCAAGCTAATTTCCATTTTAAGAAAAAGTGAATTCAGTTTTCTGCACATACAGATGACTTTAAACTCAAACTGCTATTTTTATTTGTTCAAGTCAGCCTGGAATATAATTTTTAAAAACCTGAGGGACCATGGACGTAATTTTTTTTTTTGGGGGGGGGGGGGGGGGGGGGCATGCACCCCCCCCACTTTTTCCAAAGTCAAGTTTTGACCCCTGCACTTTTCACCATCCAAAAACAATATTACACTATATTGAATTGACACTGGTTGCGCTCTAGGACCAAGTGGAAAACAACGTTTGTGTTGAAGCCCATTTCCCATTAGAGCATACTGTAAAGACACCCCCCCCCCCGTGTCCCCCCCACTTCTAAAGTGAAAATTACGTCCATGCGAGGGACACTAATCGTTCGCAGCTTTTCTCATCGACAGCTGTACTCACCAAATCAAAGACTTCTTAAACATTTAAAAAAGCAAACTATTACAGGCTTTTATTGTGTCAAGATGTTGGTATTAGAGGAAAAATGAAACAGCTGTTATTTTATTGCATGTTTCATGGGCTTGTGTCTCTGTTGTTTTGACAGATTTAGTTTTAAAGCAGCTTCTTTCTTTGTGCTCAGTTTTGACAGATTTTAAAAGGGCACAGAAGTGTAAAAAGTAAATATATGGCTGCATACTTGCAGATGAAGGGTTACATGTGTTGTTTTAAGTGACAGCAGGTGTTACTAAAGAGGAGGAAATCTGTTAGGGCTTGGCTTTGGCTAGTTTAAAGAGCCGAAGCCAATAAATAGAGTGTAGAGAAGTACAGTAAATGACAAAGTTGAGGTGTATTTTTGATGTCTCCCTCATTTCTCTTCACACCTTTAGAGATCTTTTACTGTTGTTGTGATCCATGTTAATTGCTTCCCCCGATGAAACCGTGTGCCTGTATTTATGTGTGAGTGTGTTAACCACAGGGGGAAGGTATGGGCATATTTGTACTCTCAAAGCTACTCTGCATACCTCAAACTGTATGATAAAGTATTTATAACATTCCCTTATATGTCTATTTCCAAGAATATCCCAACAAAGGTCTCACAGATGTGCAACTCTTTTGTTATTGGTGATCAATTCTTGCATTTGTAGAAACCATACTGTTTAAACGATAATAAAAAAAAATGCCGATTAATCAAGTTTGTCTGTTGTGATTCAGTGGCTACAGATTTTATTTGCTGAAAATGAAGATTTTACACATTTCACTGTTGTAAAGTGTTTTTGAGACTTCATTGAACTTTTAATCTGTTATTTTTATTTGAAAATTTTCCAAAAGGTTTTAGGAATGTGATTGCCCACTCGCAGATAGACCAGATGGGCCTGAAAAATAATATGAGAAACTAAATTAGAATCCATCAGGTTTTAAGGTTAACTCTGGGTTAAATGTAACTTCCGTTCTAGCTGGTAGTGATGTGTCGGTCGTGAACGAGCCAGCTCTAAGAGCCGGCTCTTTGAAGTGAACGACGGGAGCCGGCTCGTCATTGGGAGCCGTCCCCTCCCCTCCCCCCTCCCCTTTTGCTTTGGTGAAAGCTACAGGCGATTAGTCAACATGTGTAACTGCGTGTCCAGACTGTCCACACACAGAGCAGTAGGGGTGGGGAAGAGGGAGGATCAGACTCAGACACACAGCAGAGCACATGTGGGAGGAGGGAGACAAGAGGGAATGAGGAGGAGGAAAAATGCGAGCGAGAGAGAGGAGAGTGCGACAAAGATGGTGAGAAAATGAGCGCCAGCAGTCGGAAAGTGGAGATTTCTGAAAGTGTTCAGTTATTAAACCCATAGAAATGATAAATATTTGATATATAGCATTTTTTTTACATTAGTAAATCATTTTACATATAGTTTTGCATTATTTTGGTTATAAATGTACTCTACGCAACAGAAAATCTGAGGAGTCACTTGAGAGCCGAAAGAGCCGGCTCTTTTTGGTGAGCTGAGCCAAAAGAACCGGCTCTCTAAAAAGAGCCGTAATTCCCATCACTACTAGCTGGAGAAAGATGGCCAAACAAATAGCTCCCTCCTAACTAAGGATGCACCGATACCACCGGTAAAAGTTAGCCGATACCAGTGCAGTTGCCTGAAAGTGGCTTCACTGTAACTTGTCATTTTTGTTCACCTAATATTTTAGTTTTGTGATCATTTCTATTAACATGTTTTATTTTTTATCTACCTCACAGTCTTTTCCTGTTGAAAGCAGAGAAGAAAATAAAACCTGTATTCCAATTCATTGCATTTTTTTATGTGGTAGAAGTATCGTAATCGGTATTGGTGAGTACTCAGATCCAAATAACGGCATAAAAAGTGATATTGTTGCATCCCTAATTCTTACCATAAAAATGAAGAGCTGCATTACACAGTTTGCATGTGATGAGTCAGGTCATTGTTGACTGGTATGGACCAGAATGGTTCTGCAATTTCAGGAGAGCCTTTCCATCACAGTTTGGACTCTCATTTGGCCGGCAGGGTTAACCGTAAATGTTTCAGTCATATCAGTGCTTTTAATTTCTTTAGCTTGATGTCCTTTGGAAACGTTTTCATTCCTGACCGATCTGTCTGGCTTGTCCTGAATGTGGCTAGTGCCAACAATGGTGAGGATTGTTTGGAACTCAAAATCTCCTTGGTCTCCCTGCTACCATGGACAAAAAAAAAAAAGAAATGCTCCTCCTGAAGGATGGCAGGAGATCCCTGCTGGGTCCAGTCTGGTCAGATCCTTCTGTCGTGTTGGTTGCAGTCGGATCCAAATGCAGGAGCAGTAACAGGAAGCAGACCAGCAGGTAAAATAATTGAATAATGGCAGGTAGGATGATGCAGCAGAAAGACAAGACAAGGCTCTGACAAAGACAAGCCCAAAGGGTTTAAACACATGAGGGTAATCGGGAATCAGGTAGGATAACACGGGGCTAAGTGAGTTAAAGAGGCGAGACAGGACCACACCTCAGAGTGAGAATGAGCAGATCCTGACAGATTTCCTTTTTAAAACCCAATCAAAGAGCTCCGACATCTTGCTGCACACACTGAATAGATAACATAGCTTCTGCAATCAAGAGTCTACACATTATCTTCTAGTATGTACAGCTTTCATGTGGGGTCTCCAGTCCAGGTTATTGATGATGGTAACACACGTGTTCTTATGGGCCATTCCCATCTGTATCGGGTCGGCCCGGGCCGGGTCGCGTAGGTTGTTTACATATCTGGGTGGCCTGGTATTTTTCCGGGCCAACCAAGGCTCATTCTCAGCCCTCTTCTCGAGGGGGTCTGCTTCAGGCCGACCAGGGCCAACACACCCACTGCTGACAGCAAATTCACACCTTCCATTAGAGCAAGCCTCTGATTGGTGGGTAGAATCATCCCACATGGGCTTAATGCAAGGATGTGTGGAATCAACCGGGCCAGGCTGGGGCCGACTGGGGCTACCCGGCCCGGGCCGACCCGATACAGATGGAAATGGCCCATTATAGTCCTGTACTTCTACTTTATTTATTTTCTAAATTCTCGTAGTTGTCATGCTGCCATCCTCTTCCTGAAATCAGTAAATGTTTGGTACTTCTACCTCTGTGAGGGATTTTTCTTTACACGGGGTGCATAAACATCACGTAACATCCGTGAAGTGTCGTCACCGGCAGCAATTTACTGTTATAATGGCTGGGTGTGTTTCCGCCGGCCACAAAGCATTTTTTTTATTATTTATTTATTTAAATGTAATTTTATTATTTATTTTTATTATTTATTTCTTTTAGAAGCATCCCAGAAGGGATGTGCCGCTTTGCTAAATTTACGCTAGTCATTTCACGCCACGCTTCCAGAACCCATCACGCTCAGCAGTTCAGATCGGGTCAGACAGGAAATCAAACATGAACGCAGTGTAAAACATCTGTAAACCTTCAAAATAAAAGTCACAAGCAGATTTCCAGTGGCTTAACTAGTAAAGAAAATAAGTAATTAATTCCTCAGTAACCTCCATAGCCGAGGTAAACAGAGCAGAAAATAAGCCACAGACAGTTTTGGTTACATGCAACTGTCTTTCTCTTGATTGTTATCACGTGAACTGTCAAAATAATGCATGAGCCTACAATTGTCTGGTTAATTATCCTCATTTCATGACATTGCGGGACCAGCTGTGTGGAACGCTTTCGCTGCTGTTTTGCGTCTGAAAGGCTCCCGGTGGGAATAACGCGCCGCTTACAAATCCAGTGAAAAATTGGGGTAACAGTGAGTCAAAGCAACTGTTCAATTTCCCCTTTTTCACAGAAATGCTTTTCTTAATATTGGTAGCAGTGGCAGATGTAAACATTTGGGTGGCAAAAAATCTAAGCAGGGTGGCAATGCTGGACCTCCTCGTTTAAGTATGTGAAGATTAACAAAATTTAAAACGAGTTAAAATATTACCAAAAACTCTTAAAAACTATTTATTGTGTCATTATTTGTTCTAAGAAAAAATGTTCTATAGAATTATTACAAAAGCAAACAAATGCAGGAGACAGCATCGTAAAAATAATTAATTTAAAGGGCTGATTTCTGCAATTGCTTTTAGGAAAACTTAAGTGATATTTGAAACATATGCAAATGAAGGATCCTCCCGTAGAGCCACCACTGGTCGCGAGTAGGGATGGTTTACATATCAGATGTTAAACCCATTAAAAACAGAAATATTCCAAACTTAATTAAACATGAAAACAAATTTGTTTAAAATATGAGCGGGTACGCTAAAGAACAAATAAATTGACACATATCTACAGTTATACATGCAAAGGCACACAAAACAGTCATACAATGATACTTAATTTGGAGCTGTTCTATCACTAATTTTCACTAACCAAAAACAATTGAAATTCTCTTAAAAAATAAAAAAAGGAAGTTTTGACTTAAGCACCTCGCCTAAATTACTGTGTCATTTTAGTGTCCTACACTTAAAATTTCAACCATCGACATTTATACGATTTCAACCTGTTGAAATTAGATTTCTTTTGTTCCCTGAGAAAACACCGCACACCGTGCACTACAACAGAATAAACAGTTACGTGCACAGCTGCACACAGCTGCAGTTGAAAATAAAAGTGTCCAATCATGGCAACTTTAATTAAACCACACAAACCTCTGCACACACACACACACACACACACACACACACACATTCAGTGTTGTGCACCGAAATGACATCTTTAATTGACTAATTTACATTTTACACTCGTGGTGTGAAAACACACACACACACACACACACACACACACACACACACACACGCGCACACACGCGCACACACACACACACACACACACACACACACACACACACACACACACACACACACTGGCCCCCCAGGGGACATAATGACACATTGACAGAATGCACACAATTATCTTTTTTAATGGAGTGCAAACGTATATGCATCAGCTCGCGCGTGCATGCACATAGACACGCGCAGAATGAGCGATTATTCATTCATAATCGTGAGTGGACGGTAGGGGGTCAGAGGTGGCGGTGGTCAGACAAACGTGTACCTCGCGCTACCCGGAACCATTATGTAGACAGGAAACTACCATTTTACCGCTAGCAGCGTCGGAGGAGCCGTCGTCTGCGGAGGGGGGGGACACCTAGACCTGAAACGGGGCGGAAAGCAGCCAGCCGAAGAGAGAGGCCGGGGTGGAAAAACACGAAAGAACCACAGGAAAGGCTACGTGTGGGTGAAGTACAACGGAACGGTCGAGCTTTCGGGACTTTGGAGTCAGACAATGGACATATGGGAACAGGCCAGCGGAAAGGGGTTTTGTTAGCGAGAGTAGAGCAGCCCTCCCGGGCCGATGGAGCTCCGGGCCTTCCACTGTGGCTTTATATGGATGGAGAAAAAGGCCCCGCCAGCAGGCAGTAGGGACCCCGCTTTCCGAGCTCGTTCCCACCCTCGTGTTACCACGCTGCTGCCGTGGCGGTTCTGAGCTGGCTTTTGCGCTCGTGTTCTTCAAGGTAAAAACAAAAACAAAAACAAAAGCACCTTCCTACAGGACAGTGTTTGCTAACGTGTTAGCCGCAAAGCTAAGCCCAGCTATCGGCTCAGCTAAGTTAGCTTTGCTAGCCCTCAGCCAGCAAACTCACACACATCCTTAGATTGTTATTGTTTCAGCTACTATTTATATCTTAATGAGCTATATGTATATAAATAGCGTTATATTTGATTGCTTTGGCCTACTTTTTACAGCGGAGGAGTATCATTTTTGGGGGGAATTAACATTAACACTGCGTGATTGACAGATGCTACTTATTTCCACCCAGGCAGTTATTTATCCCTAATTAACAGATCAATTTTATTTCTAAGATTGTCGAGCTGAGATCTACCCGGTGGCGTGTTTTCTCCCGCACCTGCAGCTCAGCAGGAGCTTCAGACCTGTGGACCATCCGGTAAGATGCTAATAACGCTCGTGTAAACAATCACATTCCAATATTTAGAGTTTCAGAATTTATGGTGCAAATGTACGGACATAAATGAGATTCTAGCTAAACACGTGCCATTTTTAATACAGTGCACGTGCCTCAATGTTCATTTTACAGAAACTGTCGCTCAGTCTGCAGCTCACACGAGATAACTGTATTATAGTAGGTTTGACTGAAGGTAGTTTTTATGAGTTTCAGGTTTGCATGATTTTAGTCAAAAGGCAGTCAAAAAAATCAACTTATATTGAGACTTAACCCACATTTACCCAATCTCATCCTGATAAATTCCATGCTTATTTGATTGGATGAATTTATAAGCAACACACGGAGCCCTTTAACTAATTAAGGATTGTGACTGGTGCGTCACTGAATGCGTTGCACTCAGGTCCTCAAAATGTCACCTGAAAAAAAATATATCACCCTTGTTTGTTGGATTGATGAATATTGGTTAGGAAAGTTTGCATACCGCCCAAACTTACTTCACTGTCAGCACAAATTCCATAGAGTACTGAAATGTGGTGAGAAATATAGAACAAGTTAGTTACTAAAACTGGCCCTCACTCAGCTTTGATTTTAGTTACGACAAATGTGTAAAGTGGTGAAATGATATTGTGGATGAATCATTTACTCTAGTTTACAATAGGGATGCACCGATCAGGTTTTTTGCTGCCGATCACCGATACCGATCACGTGGATTGGCCAGAAATTTTCTACAACATTATAATGAGTGCTACAAACTACATAATCTGGGAATAAAGGAAATGTAACCTAATCTAAAATGGTCTGTATTAGGGTTGTCACGGTGTGAAAATTTAACCTCACGGTTATTGTGACCAAAATTACCACGGTTTTCGGTATTATCGTGGTGTTTTTTTTAAACGTGCTACATTTTCACACAGTTAAATAAACCCTGTATGTCAGGAAATATTGTCCTCAGTTTGTGTCTAAATTTTGCCTAAAATGTGTTATTTTGTAATTATGTTGTTTATTTGTTTACATATTTCCCCTTTAGTCTTTAAAATACCAATATTTGCCCATAACTTCTTCTTTTATGTCTGTTTGATGTCATCATTTTAAAAATATTAGATCAGATGATACTCAGTACTCAAGTAGCCTTCTAATCAGATACTTTTTTACTCTTACTTGAGTAATAAACCCTATATCAGGAAAATATTGTCCTCGGTTTTTGTCTAAATTTTGCCTAAAATGTGTTATTTTGTAATTATGTTGTTTATTTGTTTACATATTTCCCCTTTAGTCTTTAAAATACCAATATTTGCCCATAACTTCTTATTTTATGTCTGTTTGATGTCATCATTTTAAAAATATTAGATCAGATGATACTCAGTACTCAAGTAGCCTTCTAATCAGATACTTTTTTACCCTTACTTGAGTAATAAACACTATATCAGGAAAATATTGTCCTCGGTTTGTGTCCTTCCAGTGAGCTTTGCAGATGTGGGAAAATGTCATCAGGCAGTAATCGTTGTTAAATTCATAATTATTCTCGGAGAGAGACCAACTCTTATCTGCCCCTGGGAGCCCCGTAATGCATAGCGTCATTTCAACATGGCGGTGTCCGCGACACGGTTTATATGCAGGTAGCAGCGCTGCAGCTGCTTCATATAGCGACTCGTTGCATTCTCCCTCAACCCAAATCCTCGGATCACGCATTTTAGCTAAAACGCTAACGTTAGCTTGCCTTGTGTTGACTGTAGAGTTGTGGGTGATGGTCATGCAGATGTGTCATGAGGTTTGAAGCGTTGCTGCCTTTCACAGACACTTTTCTGCACGTGCTGCAAACAGGATAGCCGTCTTCTATCAACTGTCCCTCGGCATTCTTCAGATATCCAAAACATGCCCGTACTTCCCACTTTGTCTTTTTTTAGGGATAATAAATGTCCTGAGTGCTGCCGTCTCCTCCTTTGGCCATTATTTCAGCTTCAGCTTCAAGAAAGTTTTGGTTGTAAACAACAAAGTGCTCATGTGCCGCCGGCAACTTCAGCAGATGATACGGTGGCTGGTAAAGGTCATCGCGCCTACACCGCAGCCACGGTAAACCCACCCAAATAATATAGTTTTTTTTTTAAAACAAGACGGTTATTATTATTGTCAACTTTTTTTTACCGGGGTTTACCGCTACACCGGTTACCGTGACAACCCTACCTGATCGGTCTGCTTTGATCTATTTTGAAAACTCCGATCAAAACCGATAGGGGCGCTATCGGTCGATTACGATCAAATGCCGATCCATCGGTGCATCCCTAGTTTACAACATGTTTTCTTTTCTTATCATCTTTCCTCTAACTTGTCTGTCTTCTGTACTTTACAACATTATCCTCCTTTTATTTCTGATGGAAACTGACAGCAGGTCCTTACTGATTCAAACAAAAAGGTTATGCTGTATTTTCACAAATGTTCAGATACAGAATCACTAAGTTGTCTCTGCCATGCACAGATGTGATGGCACACATCAGGATGTTTGGTCCTTGGGCTCTTTCTCGTGGGAGGGTTTTCTACATTCAGTGCTTTTCCCTAAACTAAAAAATGTGATTGAACTTCCCACGTTTTTGTGGTGACTAGGCAAAGGTAATGCAGACCAACTATGACAATATTTTAAAATGTCTCTTTAATTGAAGACTTGAACGTAGGGCCGAGTGTGCAAAATTTGAATATGAAATTGTGTAATGTAAAATGTGATTAACTCTTTCACTGCCAGTCGTTTCCTTATCAGAAAAGCCCTTCGCCGCCAGAGATTTTCAGCGTTTTCACAGTTTATTTTTTTTAAGTCACAGAACGTTGCGCTGTATGATGATGTCAATGCCAAAACTGCCAAAACAAAAAGGAGACTCACCTCTTAAATCAGGAAGAATCCGCGCGTTTCGAGCGTTATCCGTTTTTTCTTAATCCGTTGTCGAATTGTGATCGGCAGAAACTTTTCTGATTCCAGGGTGTCCCGGGGTTTTAAAAAGTATTAAAAAGTGATAAATAAAAATAGTCAAATTTAAGGCCATTAAAAGTGTTAAATTTGGTCTCAGAGGTATTATTTTTTCCAAATTAGGTATTATTTTTTTCAGACTATCAGATGCCGTATTCTGAACATCGACATAGAAATATATTCTGAATGAAATGTGTTGAACGATTATAAAAACAAAACAAGCTGATTATTTGCTCCTCCCACTTGCGCTGCCCTGAGTTGCAAATGAAGCGCTCCTCCACAGTGTTGCCAACCTGGCAACTTTGACGCTATTTCTAACAGCTTTTCAGACCCCCTTCTTGTCTTTTTAAATCTTAAAAGTACCTAGCGAACACCTCAGAAACATCTCTGGTAACCTTAGCTACTTTCTGGATAACTGTCGTCAACATTTCCTGCAGGTTAGCTAAACACTCCGCCTGCACTCCGGACCGTTCTTCAGGACATTAGGAAAGGGAATGGTGCAGTGATGTGTCGGTCGCTAAAGAAACAGCTCTCAGAGTCGGCTCCCTGTTGGAGTAACCAGAGTGAGTGACACACACTGCACCTGCGGACTCCTGAGCCACTAAAAACGGCTAAATGTGCGCGTGCGGCGTGCTAAACACACGTGCAGCTTGCCCCTGATTGCTGTGAGACCGGGTTGGGGGGGGGGGGTGCAGCTGTGGTTGGGACAATTATTACATTAACTGATGGACTTGTAAATAAATAGTTTATAAATAAGGTAGAAATAAGTTTCTCACGCTGATAAATAATAACTAATCTCTCTGAGGACACGGTGCTAGTGCACTCTCCTACAGCACCTTGACATGACTCAATAAATGTTATGCAACATTTTGTGAACAGCAATTTGCATGTATTTGTTATAAATGCCACTGTATAATTCTTGCTATCAGTATTTGCAAGATATTGGTATTTGGGTCTGTACTGGTTAGACTTAAATGAGTTAAACCAAGGTCTATAGCCCTTGGGTCATAAACTATGAGCTATAAGTATATTGGTCTTTTTATACTGGGAATCAGGAGTTATTTTAGTGATCATCTTGTTTCTTGTTTATTTTTGCCCTGATTGTGCCCTGAGCAGTTTTATGACTGAATTAAAAAAAAATCTACATAAATTGAAAAATCGTCTTAAATAATCGAGATCTCAATTTCAGTCACAATAATCGTGATTATTGTTTTTGCCATAATCGAGCAGCCCTACTTTAGCATATCCGGTCACATAATGATGACGTCATATTCAGTGGTCGTTCTGCATCATTTCAGGCCTCGTGGTCAACTGTCTGAACCGCTGAACATAAGTACCTGGCTTATTTTCTAAGTAAAATAAATATGTGCAATACGTTGTCAACATCAGTGAGTCTCTAAGTCTATTCTTTTTGTATGTTATATATGTTAAAATATGTGTAAATAGGTCGCTGATTAACACTTGCAATTTAGTGTTGTGATGGTTTTAAAAATATTCTGAAGGTAGTAAAAAAAAGTATTAAAAAGTAGTAAATTTTACTTAAGGATTGCTGTATATACCCTGGATTCGCTCCTCACTTTTTTTTCAGCAACAGCCTAAAACGATCTCCTAACATGGGTTTTCTGCTTCCTGGTCATGTGACGTGTGACGTACGTGGATGAAGATCAGCTTTAGAGCTGAGATGTTTGTTCTCATGATGCGGGGGCTCACACGGTAAAAAAAAAACAAAATGCGAATGACAACTTGGTTGTTAATGAATTAATAGGCTGGTTAGTTGGGAGGTCAGACTGGAAACTGGTTGCAAATGATCTTTTTTTTTCCAAAAATTTACAAGACTTGATTTTTAATTGAAATTGAAAAAGCAGATATAAAATTTTACACTAAGGCCAAAGTATTTCATTTTTGATGAGGTATCAAGATTATAGAAATATTTCCATATTAGATTAATAGGATGTAAAAGAAAATTGGTGGCAGAATCCACGAAAACCATTATTGTTCTCAGCAGCTTCAGTTGTCATTTTTGCTATTTTTTTCTCATTTTGGGGCGACGGTGGCACAGGAGTTAAGTGCTCGCCCCGTAATCGGAAGGTTACAGGTTCGAGCCCCACTCAGTCTGTCGCTGTCATTGTGTCCTTGGGCAAGACACTTAACCCCGCTTGCCTGCTGGTGGTGGTCGGAGGGACCGGTGGTGCCTGTGCTCAGCAGTCTCCCCTCTGTCAGTGCGCCCCAGGGCAGCTGTGGCTACATCGTAGCTCATCCCCACCAGTGTGTGAATGGGTGAATGACTGGTTGTGTTGTAAAGTGCCTTGGGGGGTTCCAGGACTCTAGAAGGTGCTATATCAAATACAGGCCATTTACCATTTCCATCATTAATAATATTGTTAATATTTATATTCAGCAGTTATTGGTGTGTGTTATCTAGGGATGTGAATCTTAGAGCAACTCACCATTTAATTCGATTCCGATTCTTGGGGTGCCGACTCGATTCAGAATCGATTCTCGATTCAGAATCGATTCTCGATTCTCAATTTAAATCGATTCACAATCAGTATTAACAAAGAGTGTCAGCTCCAGGATGAACTACTTTGTTGTACAAGTTAGTTAAAGCTATGGGACATTTTTATTTGACTTTAAACTGGTCGTGCTCCAGAAATGCAAATTTACAAAGTAAACTAAAGTGATTCTAAAACTGTAAACAGAAACAATCTTTTGACCAAAAGGCAACATTTATTTTTGCTTACCTTGTAAAATATAACACATCTTTAGTTACCGTAGATTTGAAAGTAATACGGTCAAATACTTTTCAAGTATGTGTAGAAACAAGTTACATGAGTAATCCTGAGTACTCATTCATCAACTTAGAAAATAAATACGCTAATACCGTAAATCTTCTAATATTGGCCTGTATTCAATTAACGGCCGGGTATCATATTTTGGCCGGTGTGGGAGTCGGCGGAGGTGAATAATGGCCGGTATTTTATTGTGGCCGGGTGGAAAGTGGTAACAAGCAAGTACGGGGGGGGGGGGGGGGGGGTGTCATCCATCTCACTTTTGATTTGCCAGTGATAGACTGCGAGGGTAACTTTAACCGTGCGGAGACGAAGAGGAGGCGAAAATTTGATATCAAGTTCAAAGAGAACGTGCTGATTATGCTGCAGAACACTCTGGGGAGCAGTAGCAGGGGTTGTATGAACTAGTCGACTTCACCGCTCTATAGTGACTTTTTATGCCTGTCATCGACTAGTCGCTGTCACGTGATAATGACCGGCAAGATGCAGTCCTCGGAAAAGACAGCAGCCTGCTGTCAGCAGGTGACAGGTGATGCGCCCCGCTCCACAGCAGCGAAATGCATCAGGCACAAATAAAAGAATAAAAGACAGAAAACATAAAAGGAAATGAGCCGACATGAACGATCGCGTGTTAAATTAGTTTTTGAGGTGGCGACACCTGATTTGGCCGTGCTCAGGACGCAGATGTCTGGAGTGCGTCAACAATCAGAGCTTTGCATGTGCAAGCTGGTTAAGGTTAGGATGGGGGTGAGGGGAAGGTTAAATTGCAAGAGGGTAAAGGTCACATTTTGGATAAATGTGCGTTTTACGGCGGGTGTCAGTGCCGACGCTCTGGCACAGCGCGTTGCCTCCCGTGGCCAGCAAGCAGCGAGCACTCTGCTGTTTTTGCGGTCGGTAGATCTTTTAGAACTGCAGTTCAAAGGTAACTCATAAGGTGAATATATATGAACCCAGGTAGCAGTTTCTCTTTAGGATTGAGAGGAGATGCAGGAAGATAATAAACAGGCAGGACAGAAAAATAGTCAAATAAAAACAAGTTAGTTTTTGTACCTGCTGGTTGCAACAAACAGACACCATTGAAGGTAATCAGAAGTGAGGAACAGAAAATGAAATAATTATTTTAATGTTTAGAGCAGCAGGAACTCCGAGAGGCTGCAGGCGCATCAGTGAGTTTGCGGCCGCTGCGCAGGGGGAGGGGGGAGAGGGCTGAAGCAGGAACGACCGTTGTTAAAAGAAATGTGTTTAACTTTGAAAATGTGGGCGCAATTTTAATTGTCAAAAACTCCAGCGAACAATTAGTTCATTTTGCTCAAATAGAAATAGAGGCCTGCCTCTAATACTGGCCCTCCTTCCAATAAAGGCCTGGAGCTTGATGAGCTTGGGTCAAATACAGGTCCGGGCCTGTATTAGAGGATTTACGATATCTCAAATTTCTGAGTATGGAAAAAATTACATTCAAGTGTCCTCTTATCAGCAGATTCAAACATTTAAACATTTAGGTGTTTCAGATTTTGGAGCAAGAGTTTTATTTTTTTAAATAAACTTTTCGTATTTCTGTAATGACTTTGATCTCCTGCTATTCTTGTACTCAGTTGTGTATCTAAACTAATGGATAGAATTTTTTTTTACAGTTTTCTTTGTAAAATATTTGCATAAAACTTAACATCAACTTAAAAACAAGCACAACTTAATCAACATTGACAAAAATGTAAAGTTGGGCATAGTTTGAATGAGAATGATAACGACTCAGGTTCCGATCCAATTTCCTTGTTAAAATCCCAATTCCTAGCAATTCACAATTCCAAATCTGTAAAGCAGCAGGGTCAAAAACATGTTTTCCATGAGCCACATAACCATATTTCTTATTAGAAATGAGAAAAGTCTGAAGTTCTCCATGAGCTTTAATTCGATGAATTTTCTCATTTAAAGCCTTACTTAAGAACGCAGAAACGCAAAACACTTCTGGCAAATTCTTCTTTATGTTTATGTTTACTTATTTGGCAGATGCTTTTATCCAAAGCGACGTTTAATTCCTAACTGGTATTCGGCAGATTCGTCTTCTGGATGGCAGACTGGGTATTAAAGCTAGGAATCGGAATAAAAAAATGTTAATGATTCCAGAAAAAACTGAAAATTAGTCTTGGTTCCAATCGATGCTCAACCCTACATAAATGTAGTGCCGGGCGATGTGGCTTAAAATCAATATCACGATATATTGAGGATTTCACCTCAATAACGATAAATGGACGATAACTAAATGGATGCGCAGAAACTAAGTTGTCCACTAGATGGGGCTGTCACGTGCCAGTTGAGTCACATTTTTGGCGACTCAAGGTGGTACAGCTTCTTAAAGGGACATGAATGATGCCAGTCTACACACACCTTTTCCTTTTTCATCATCAAATTTATTGACATGGAAAAAATAATTCGAGAGTCAGAAATTTTGATGACAATACATTTTCGATGAATTGCCCAGCCCTACATAAATGTCTCACTTTTTGATTTGAAGTGAGTATTTTGCAGCAGCAGTACAAAATACTAAATACAGGGTATGTGCCGTACTTACGAATTTCAGAAATCAAACGTTCTCAGTTCTTTGTATCTCTGTTCTGTATCAAATCACAGAGCTGCTGATGACCTCCCCTCTCTTTTTTCAGGTTCTCCTGTGAACTCCACATCAGGACAGAAGTCTGACAGAATGAGCTGTCCGCTGAAATAACACACTTCACCTTCAGGAACTTCTTGGCCTGGATTTCAAATCAGCTTATGGATGTGAAACCCTTTAAAGAAACACTACAGACTTAAAACAAATATATGATTTAGTATGTTTCTTATTTATGACCCTTTTGATATTATCATACTCTAAGCACTTGAAGGCTTTATTCATGAATGAAAAGTATAGGAATTAGTTATGTACATGTAGGTGAGGAGGAAAACCGCGCGTTGACTTGCCTAAGGAACTGAAGCACGACTGTCTCAGAAAGCTAGATCTGTTGAGGTCAACGAGGGCTTTCCTCTGTTCTGTGGTTTGGTGTACTAGGTAGTTCTTTCCGCTGAACACTTGGCCACAGCTGTATTGGGAGATGTTCCAGTTCAGCAAGTACCCCATGGACATTTTGGAGATGCTCAGTGGTCACCAAGCCCACCAGTTTAAAGGTCTTGGATTAGAGCGACAACTGAGCCACCAACAGCAGGTCCAACTGCAGCATCAACAGCAGCTTCAGCAGCAGCACCAACCGTCTGCAGACACCTCTGGGACCCTTCTGTCTGGACTTGGACTTGGAACCCTCCAGACCTCTCGGAGCAACGCCTTTGCTGACTCATCTTCATTATTTGCCAAAATGAGTGCCCCTCCCCCAACGGTTTCCCATCAGAGCCAATCGTCGTCCTCTTCCCACAGCTCTAGGAAGTCTAGTAAGATTAGCAGCAGCAGCGGGAGCTCCTCGTCAGGATACCCTCAGTTTCTCCGACCTTTTCACCCGGCTGAGGCAGCTCTGGCTCAGGAGCAGCTTCATTCTGGGATGGGACGTTTTGACTTCAGCGGAAGCAGTAGTGGAGGGAGTGCTGGGGTAATTGGGGTCACACCTGCCCCCCCACCTCCATTGCATCCAGGTCTATCAGTCCCTCAACCTTCCACTGGCCCCTCTTCTTCATCATCTGCCTCTACTACCATTTCAACTTCCAACAATCCCTCCAGCAGCACTGCAGTACCCTTAGTTGGCCAGTCTGACCCCCGCAGCCTCCACCAGCAATTCAGCTGCATGCTTGCTGCCAACCAGTACTTCCTGTCTGGCGTTCCCACCAACAGCAGCCTGGAGCAGTTCCTCGTTCAGCAGGGCACCCATAACCACTTGGGCTTAGGTCTTAGTCAAGGAGCCGCCGAGCCAAACTCTGCCCTGGCCCCTCCCCCTGCCCTGCACTCCTCCCACAGCCACACCACTTCACAGCCTCAACAGCAACAACAGCAGCTAACCCCTCATGCCTTATCTCACCCACACAGCCACACTCACCACCCACACCCCATCCACCCAGCGCCTCAGCCTGCCCCACTGGGTGGTTTTGATTTTCAAGGCATTCCAGTGCTTTCCTCTAACCAGATAGCGTCATTAATGCAGCAAGAGGCAGGCATTCCCCTCCCCCTACCTCTTCACTTGTCGCTGTCTAAAGATGATTCAACAAAGTCAGGAGACACTACTTCAAGTGGTGGGGGCAGGAGAAAGAAGGCAATGGCAGGCTACCTTCCTCAGAGGAAAACAGATGGCAACGGCCAAAATCCCAGTAGCTCAAGTGGGCACAGTCAGAGCTCTTCAGGCCTAGTGAGAGGAGGATCTGGGGGTGTTGGGCTAAGTGACATCAGGAGCGAAACACAGCACTCCTCTCTTCTCTCATCCTCCTCACAGCAGCAGTCATCCTCCAATGTCTCCTCATCTTCATCTGCCCCCGCATCCTCAAATCCCACTTCTGTACTCGTAGCCAATGGTAACCAACAGCTCTCCAAATCCCAAGAAAGGCGCAGAAGCTCATCTGGCCGACCCGAACCAGAACCCCTTTACCATTGTGGCGAGTGTGGCAAAACATTCACTCACCTCTCCAGCCTTCGAAGGCATCTCCGCAGCCATGGCTTAACACCGGAAAGCCAAAGCAGAAAGTCGGGTTGTAATTCTCCCAGCCCAGAGAGAATATTTTGTTGTGGCGAGTGTGGAAAGAGATTCAAAAAGAGAGGTCACCTCATCCAGCATAGTGTCACCCACTCAGAAAACCGTCCCTTCACTTGTAGCATCTGCCAGAAGTCTTTCAACCGTCGAGAGTCTCTCACTAGACATGAGAAGATTCACGATGAGAAGCCCTTCCGGTGCCCAGCTTGCGGGCGTTGTTTTCGCGAGAGCACTTCGCTTCTTAACCACGCCGCGTCAGGTGCTTGTGGCAAACCTCCCCGTAGTTCAAAGAGCCGGGGGACGACACATGCATCGTCCAACGCAAGCAGCGGTAAAATGGGAAATTCAAATAACAGCGGCATGGCGGCGGACAAATATGCAACAGATTACTCGAGAAACCGGTACCAGAACCAAGCACCCTACAGCGGTGCCGTAGATGACTACAGGCGATCACAAACTTCAACTCTTTACTCCACAGAAAGCACACTAGGCAACGACATGACCAGCCAAACCCTTCGCAAGGCTCCTTTAGCTCCAACTCTTCATCCTCATCCACAAAGTCAACAACATCACCACCCACAACAGCAACCCCACCTCCCTCTGTCTTCCTTATTAGATGATTCAGAAGACGAGGTTACTAGCAGTGCTATGTCCGCTATAGCTGCTGCTGCTGCAGCCTCTTGTGATTTAAACGCAGAAGGTCGGGATGGAGAAAGAAGGGACATCATTGGAGGTCTGCTGGGGGGGTTGGGGTTTGGTAACTTGAGTGGACCAACATCAGCAGCTACTCTAAATGGTTCTACCATGCCTTTAACCCACCCCAGCCTTCCCCAAGCAAAGCCAAGGAGGCCACGAAAACCCAGGGAAAAAAGGGACCCAAACACCATCGTGAGGAGGAGGAGGAGCCCGGCGCCTCCCGGAGATGGCTCAGAGAGGCCATACGGGTGTCAGATATGTGGCAAACGCTTCAGGAGGGCTGAGACTTTGCGACGCCACAATCGAGTTCATACAGGGGAGAAACCTCATGCCTGTGACATTTGTGGAAAGCTGTTCCGTGAGCCCTTCCACCTCACTAAGCATCTGACTGTGCACTCGGGACAGAAAAACTACAAATGTAATCTTTGTGGGAAGATGTTTGCCTATGCTCAGAGTCTTGTCAGACACGGGAAGCTACACAGAAAAGGTGAAATTGACAACCAGGGGAGGAGAATCAAAGGTGCTGCAGCTGCTGCCATCAGTCAAGTCACCAACTCGGGAAGCTCCGACTACTTCTCATCATGCTCCCAAGGAGAGAAGTCGCCAACATCTGGTACCCCTTCCCAGAGGCTTTACACTTGCACGGTTTGCTGGAAATCGTTTCGACACTATTTCCACCTTACTGCTCATCAACAGACTGTCCATGGTGGTGGAGTGGGACTGGAAAAGTCCTACCGTTGTGACGTATGTGGCAAAGCCTTTGCCTACTCAAACAGCTTAGTACGGCACAAGTTGTCTCAGCATGGCATTGACCGAAGCGGCCACCGGGTCAACCAGTCTCAGTCCTCCGGATACTCGCCACTCTTTTTTGATTCTGGCTCTGGTTCCAGCTATACTGGATCATCCCATGTGCAGCAGGGGGTCTCTGAGCAGCAGCAGCAGCACCCTTTTCACTACCGTTCAAAAAACTTCCAAAAACGGCATGGACAGCCACGAAAGCACAGAAAGAAAAAACGACGGATAGTGATCCACAGCATCATGAGAGACGGGAAGCTGGTGGGTGTCCCTCTGAGTAAAGACACTCGCAAGAAACTTTTGATTCTGAGGAGAAGAAGGGGCAAACTGCAGGCTAGACTCACCAGGAAAAAACTCCTGGCCCAGCTGAGAGTGAAGGGATGTATAATGAAAGCAAAATCGTGGACTGGGGGAGCCGTCAAGGTCACGGGGCTCTCTTCTATGGAAATTCCTCTTAAGCGCTTCCCTTGCCCCATCTGTCCCAGTACCACATATGCCAAACAGGGCTCTCTTCTGGTGCATCACGCCATCAGGCACCCACCAAGAAACTCAGGCCGCCATGCTCGTCTGCGGTGCCAGGTGTGTGGAAGACGTACCACCTCATTACACAAAGCCTTGAAACACAGGGGCCGGCATCTCAAACAAGCTTCATTCCAGTGCCAGAAATGCCGACACCGTTTCTGGAACCCCCTCCTTCTGGCTCGTCACAGGTTCTCCTGCAGAGCATTGTCTGCTGGCATTATCGGTGAGAACTGGGAACTGATGAAAATAAAACCACAGTCCGTTGACCAATCATGTATCAAACCATCACCAGCCCAGCAAATAGTTCCATCTCTGGCCCAGCCTGAAAGATCAACAGTTCTGACGGAGTACAGTCAGTGAACACATTATTTTAGACTAGATTGTTTTAATGTTTATTTTTATCAAATAACCCAAGATGCAAGCAAGAGCTAGCGTGTTTTTAACTAAAAAGAAAAAAATCTGAAGGAACGGGGAGTGTTTAGTTTAACTACAAAGATATCCCCATACCCCCATTAGGATAAACCTCCATCTAGTCCTAAGTGGTTGTCAACATGTCATGGACTTCTAAAGGCCGAAATACTCTCTCCCTAAGTCACAGGAACTCAACATTTCATCTGTTTTGAAAAAAAGAACTTGCATTAACATTTATTTTTATATGGTTTTTAAATATCCAGTTTGCTGTGTTTTGTACATCACAATGCATTGGATGATTATCATAGAGGTTATTATTTCACATTATTCACAGTTAAACGGTATAGTCCATGTCTTTTGCTGTGTTGATTTGTGGACAGACTCACTTTATACAAAGATGACATTTGCCCGAAAGATAATTTGATATAAAAAAATCTGAAAAGGATACCAAGTAGTACTGAAGTGATTGTAAGGGAGTTCAGACAAACGTTAAATTGCATATGGCAATGTTTATTAATGTACACTACTTTTGTCATTTTCTAAAGAGGTGAGGATGACGGGCAAATGTGGCTAACTGTTCTCAGTTTAAAATGGAAAACCTGAAATTGAGTGTACTGTACAATTTAGCAATTTTTTACTCCAAGTACCCTTTTTTTTGTCATTGTTGGTATTGTATCAGTGGGAGGGGATGAACTGGGGAATTTGTTTGTAAAACAGTGGGATGAGTATATGTATCAATGTGATATTTTTCTCCTTTCTCCTCCGCCCCGTTTACTTGCTCCCCCATTGCCACATTTTTGCCTCATTTTTGTAACTAAATCATGTACACATAGTTTAGGTCCTGTCTAATGTGCTTCTCTTTTTTTTTTACTGTAAAACTAAAACATGTAAAATTATTACTAAATTACTATCCTTTTTTTCCCTAAAAGTGAGTTGTTGAAAACCTTAAAATAAAATCTGAAATGTTAGTGATTTTTTTATTATACTGAGCATATTAGTTTTCTTTTCTGCTAATTCTATATGACATATTTGTAGTATTTTTACATACTTGGTTTTCTTTTAACTTGACTATCCACACAATTTTATTTTTACTGGCCCTAGTAGGTGCATTATTTTAATGGACCAGTAGATGGTGATGTTTATACATTTCTTTCCCAAGATGGTTGATCACAGAGACCAAATAAACAGACCAGGGCCAACTGTTTTATCATCAAAACACCTATTGAATACCAAATCAGATATTTGTGTGGTCAAGCTGTTTCTTTTCTGTAGTATGTGTTACCATTCACGCATTGCTGATGGGGGTGAGGGGCAGACATTTGGATTATTTTGCAATTTCCTGACATCTACATGTAACAACACTGTAGATTTACACCAGCTCATAGTTCTTTCTAGGAACCGTCACACCCACAATGCAGCAGATGAAACTGATTTATTGGCCTGTTACATTAGAATTGGCTGGAAGTAAAATAGTTGGGATTAGTTATTTTATATTTTTAAGTTTCAAGAGGTCTCAAATCTCTGGTTAGAAATCAATTCGGTGCATTTTTCAGGACTAATGTATGTATAACAGCTTTATTTTTACAAATGATTTTGATAAGGAGAAACATCCTTTAACAGTAAAACTGATTAGTTATTTGGGAAATAATATTTGAACGTTTTAATTGAATTTATTATTAACAAGTAATTACACATAATCTTTAATCGATCACTGAAATGAAACGTCAATAAACCAGCCAGCCAGGCGGTCACGCGGACATAGCATGGGGGAAACCTTTGGGCGGAGACTTTGACCTATTTTTAGCCAATAGAAGCCGAGAGCGGCAGCAAGTGACCCAGATTCCGCCAATCGCTGTGCAGCGGAGTCGCCGGTAGGCAACTCGGCGCGTGCAGAGAACACGTGACTCGGTGTAGCGCGCGCGAGCGGCGTAACTATACGGAAGAGTAGTCGCATTCGTTCGTTTTGTAGGATTAAATGTAATTTAAGCATTTCCCTGCATTGTAGATTTTCCAGCTAATGAATGATTTAATTTAAATGACATTAATTTATTCTTCAAAACAATAATTTAGATTTTTCTATGCAAATTATTTAGGATTTCCCTCATTCTTGTATGCATTCTTGTGATTGGACATGTGTCGATAGCCTACTGTAAGCCTAGTAAATTAACCTATAATTTATTCCGGAGGCCAAGGAGGATAGGCAAACATCCAGACTATGATAGGTGGTTTATCCTCTCTGGTTTTTGCTTGTTTAGCAGACAGCGTGAGAAAATGAGAGGGGAGGAGGACTTTCGCTCTAAATCCAGGAAGAATATTAACTCAGGGTGGTGTGATTGGATGTGCACAATGGATGTGCAGCAGTCTGAGCAATGTCGCTATTGGTTTAAACTGCAAGGAGGTGTCATGATTTATGCTAATTGTGGTGCGTTCAAGGACAACTTTGGAGAAAAATAAATCGACCACAAACACATTGCAGAATAAACAACATAAACATTTTAGCCTACTTAAAAAATAAGTAACCTGTGCACATTTTATGGATTATAACCCTTTTATGTATTGCAACAGCTATTTGGACCACTGCCCTTCAATCACTACATGCTCCCACTGGATCAGGTCATACTCAACAACAACATTGTTATGTATATTATAGTTATGCAGATGACACCCAGATCTACCTAGATCTAGTGATCATGAACCCCTACACTCACGTTGTCAGTGTTTGAAGCAAGTCCATGACTGGATGCAGTCAAACTTCCTCCAGTTAAACAAAAACAAGACTGAAGTTATTGTCTTTGGAATTAAGAAATATAGGTCATTGCTCAACTTGCCTCCAGAGAATTAAAGGAAAAAATCTCTATCTACGCCTGTGGTCCCGACGGGGGCATAGGCAACCAATCAGACCTAGGTAAGAAACGTTTGTGTCATAACTGATTTTTACCCGAGCTTCACTGGTCACACTAAGGCTGTCAGCGTTTTCTCATCTTTATCAAATAGCAAGACTCAGAGGTCTCATGTCCAGACAGGACCAAGAGAAAGCTTTGTTTGTTTTTAAGTTTTAAATTGTATTTTCTGGTGTGTTGATTTAAAAGTTTTTGTTATTCTTGCTAATAGAAGACACACTGAATTGCCTCTGTGTATGAAATGAAAGCTGCATTGCCTTAAAAGCTTTTATTTTGTAAATGTTTAATGATATAGACTACATGGCAGGAGGTTACGGTCCATCCGGACCAGAACCTCCCGCCATAAGAACAGCTTCTTTCCATCTGCCGTTAGACTTGTGAACAGATTATAAACACACAACCATGCTGGTCTTCTGTACTCGACACAACGTCACGTTATCGGCCATGTTACCATTACCTGCCATTTTTTATAGCTGAAAGTTTTATTCTAGTTTTTTTATTCTATTTTATTCTATTTTTAATCTTATTATTCATGTTATATGTAGCACATTAGTACCGAAGCAAGTTCCTAGTTTGTTAATTGTTTGTTCACTGACAATGGCAATACACCTTTTCTGATTCTGATGCCTCATCATTGGAGTGTCTCTCCAAACATTACACCATCTCACAGTCAGCAATGATGTTATCATACTAAATTCTTTTGTTTGCCAAAATTCAAAGTGAAATGCTTGAACCTTTGTGTATTTGTAAAATAATAAATAAAATATCTATCTATCTATCATCTATCTATCTATCTATCTATCTATCTATCTATCTATCTATCTATCTATCTATCTATCTATCTATCTATCTATCTATCTATCTATCTATCTATCTATCTATCTATCTATCTATCTATCAATCAATCAAAGCTCATATTTACAATCTTTGAAGTGGTCCGTGAAAGCACCACTGAGTTTGAAGGGCAGTGGGGCGTTATTATAACAAAAGTGGGCGTGGTCACGTAGCCTATGCTAACCCCCCCCCCCCCCCCCCCCCCCCCCCCGACCGCCTTTCCCCAGTGAGTGGTGACGTTACGCGAGCGGCCCGTGTTGGTTCCAGCTGACAGGCGGAGAGAGACACTGTGTGTGTGAGTGTGCGCGCGTGGAAGCGAGTGTGTGTGCGTGAAGGTAGGAACGGGAGGGAGCGCGAGAGAGGAGCAAAACAAGAGCCATCATCTATCCGACTCGCGCTGGTTTTTATTTTTTGAGGGGCATCTCTTTATTTTTTCCATTTGACATCTTTGATCTCATCTCAAACCGCAGATTTAAGGGATTTTATTTTTCCTTCTTGGAGACTTCCCACCGCCGCATTCCGACTGCGTTCTGCTGGTTCTGTTATCTGCGCTCGTTGCAAGGGACCAGACAGCTGCCTTCGTCTCAGCGTTTGTTATCTGTGCCACTGTTTATTTCGCCCCTCAGGAGGGGAATTCTCGCTGTCGACCCACCGGGACCGGAGCCAGCACCGAAACAGCTCCTCTGGGCTGAGTTTGAGGAGAATCGGTGACAGCAGGCAACTCCTGGAGGCTCAGGCTGCCTGACAGGATGAATTAGATCCGATCACCATGCAGCCACTTTGGAGATAAGTCCCCCTTTTTGTTTCGTTTTTTTGATTTTGCACATTTTATGCAGGAGACGAGCTGGAAGCGAGTTTTCAGGTGGAGATCTTGTGCACGCCTCACCTGTCAGCGCTCCTTTTGACGGCGCACCCGTGAGCCACTAAGTGGATTATTTTTCAACAACACCGCTCCACCTACCCTCACCTACCTCCCCCACCCCTTTCACGCATCCCTTAAGTGATGTCAAGGCCTCTCACCCAGCTTTTGCCGCTCGATATTCCTGCCGGGGCCACCAGCCCACAGTTTGGGGGCAGTAACCCTGCTGGAAGTGGTCCCCAGAGTGGGCACCTAACCTCCATGACCAACTTGAAGTCCCTGCTACAGGTGCCAATAAAGGCCGATCAGAGAGCCGCCAAGGACTGCTGTGAGATGAAGGGTGAGTGCACGTGCGCATGTGTGGTGATGGGGAGGGGGGAAGCATGGGGATCCTTTTGGCATGAGAAGTCTTAAAGGGAAACACCTCATTTGGTCTGCTGGTATTTCATACAGAAACAAACTTCTGATGTACACCATGAGAGCAACATCTGAGTCTTGTGATATGATAGATTCAGCTGTTGTCGCATGCGTTCTGTAAGAAAATGTTACCCCTGCACAACCCTCCAAAGGTGAAATCATCGTTTTCAACTATTTTCACGTTCTAGCTCCCTGACATGATTAGTACTTTCTTTCATAAACCTGCTGCATCAAATCCTAAAGTTGTTTTCTGCCCTCTAGTGGTGGATTTAAACATTTCAGGTGGAAAATGCAAACTTTACAAAATTGTGATTGCTTTTTTTATGTACAAAAGCTCTGGTGCTTTCAGGGGGTAGGAGTTTGGCAGAGGAGTGGGAGATCTTGGACATGAATATGTAGGTGCGCCACTGGGCGCTGGGGAGCATAACTGGGTGGGTTCCTCACTCTCCAAACCCAACTGGAGTCGATGGAGCGTGGGCAAATAGACCCACTTTTGTGCAGCCTACGGATGCAACAAACTGACGCACTATTCAAAACTGATCACGTGAGACTACTATTAACTTTTCTAGTGTACCTATTGGGATTTTATATTTTTCTTTATTTATATTTATATTTTAACTATTATGCCATATCACTTGTCTTTTTTTACTGGTGGTTCCAAGAATATTTAAAAATAGGATGGGAGGCAGATCTTTTAGTTATCAGGCTCCTCCTGTGGAACCAGCTCCCAGCTTCAGTCCGTGAGGCAGACACCTTGTCTACTTTTAAGACTAGGCTTAAAACATTTTAAATAGGGTTTGTGATTAAATTGTGATGTTAGCCCAGATCTAGACGAGTGAGGGCGTAGAGGGAAGTAGAGTGAACCGTGGGGAATACAGTCTGTGACGATGGCTCTCCCTTGCCCTGCCTCCAACAGGCCTCATCTAAAAGACTAGATCATCCAGAGTTTTCTATGTAGTTATGCTGCTATGGCCTTAGACTGCTGGAGGATACACTGACCACTTTCCACACTCTACTACTTTCTTCTAATTGTATTATTTCCTGCTATTTCAGCTGTTAACTTTATTGTCTCTCCAAGTGTTTTTCTTCTCAAGAGAAGCTACAATGGTGTTCTGCTGAGCTGTGGTGGCCTCATGGAGGGACCACCGGCTGGCACACTGCTGCTATCTACTTAACATTCTCCCTCTCCTGTTAATAATGTTTTACTTTCTTTGGCATCGAATGTGCTACTACTAGTTTATCCGCTTAATTAATTATTTATTCACTAAGCTAAAGACAATAAAGTTGATCTCTTAATAAATAAAATATTTACTAAGAAATCACTAAAGAAATACTTCTTGGTAAATATGTTTTTTTTTGTGTGTGTGTGTGTGTGTGTGTGTGTGTGTGTGGGGGGGGGGGGGGGGGTACTCTGACTTCTCAATCTCCACTGACCACTCAAGTTAGACCCTGGCTCCCCGTAATCCTACTGAGGAAAAGCAGTTCAGGAAAGGAGTGAGTGAGAAGAAACCTTTATTGTAATAAACAAATTTGGTAATAAAAAACAAACACATCCATCTGCTTTATTTGTTAGACATTACAACAATCTTTACTGATGGGTCAAAATCCTACCACTCTTAAATCGCAGTTGAGCGCCATCCAAAATCTCTCTGAGGTCTGCAGATGGTCACACGTTGGACATTCTGGACACGCTGATGTCATATTTCATAGAAAATGGTTATGCATGCATATTTAACCCTTTGATGCATAATGGTCACTACAGTGGACAGGTACTCAAAATTGTTATTTATTTGTTTTTGCTATTAAGCACAGCTGCTGAAGACTTTGTTGCATTTGAGCCCCTCCATTTGGACTTCGGTAAGCCAAGCCAACATATTTCATGTTCAGAATGCACCCAGTCCACTGAGGTGGACATGTAATAAATAATTTGTAAATTATAAAATTTTACAAAAAATATTTGTTGAAATTTATTTCATTCACACCTAAAGACGAATGAAAAAAAAATGTAAAAAAATCATGGTTGAAGATTTCATAATTCATGCATCACAGGGTTCATATGAAATTCCAATCAGATTTGCGTTTTTAAATCTGAGACTTTTAAAATGTCCTTTATTAAATAAAATAAACATAATAAAGCAACAGTGTTTATCTAGACTGTAAATGTTAATGATACTGAAGAAAACAATTACCAGTTTAGTTTTGATCTGAAACACAAACAAACATTAATCATCACAGGGCCTCTAGTCTCTAGTAGGAATTATTCATAGATGTGTGTGTGTGTGTGTGTGCACGTGACTGAGTGGGTATGTGTGATTGTAAAAAACAGAGGACCTGCTTACCCAACAAACTCATATGCACACTGTTTTCATTTCAGCACTCCTTCTGGCTTCCTGGATTTTTCTTCTGTCTTGATCACTTCTTTTTATATTTAGTGGTGAAAAGCGTTCATCTAGAAGGAGAGGAGGAGGAGGAAGAGGAGGAGGGAAGAAGAGAGTGTAAAATATAAATAAATACTAGTCTGAATGCCATCAGAATCCAGCCAAAGCAGCAAGGATTGTAGAAGAATAGGAAGAGAAGTGAAGAAGAGATTGAATTGTTTCTTCATCCATCAGCTGCCTCGACAAATATTAACCAAACTGCCTCTTCTTCCTCTCTGGCTGTAGGGATGTCATAATTCACAGCTGACACACACACACACACACACACACACACACACACACACACACACACACACACACACACACACACACACACACACACACACACACACACACACACACACACACACACACACACACACACACACAGGTAGCTTTGGATGGAATCTGCGCTGATTTGCATACATTTTCTTTAAGATTGTTCTTATTTAATTTAGATTTTTTTAAAGTTTTGTTTATTTCACAAAAAAAGTAATAACAGAAGAATATTTTTAAAAATCTGCTGACTCCTACCTTATTTAAGCTAAAGCGAGGACACAGTTGGAAAAAGAAACCACTAAAATTCCTCTGTCCAGTCTCTTAAGTGCTAGTGGGAGAACCCTGGTGGGCGTTTGGTGCAAATGCAGTTCCTTTTTCTTGATTCTTTGAGACGAAAGAGGAGGATGAGATGATGGTAAGCACAGCTGTCAGGCTCTCCAAGGAGCCAGAAAGCATCTCCACTGCCTCTGCTAGCCTTGTTGCCACTGAGAGGTGCTGCATTCAGGGCCAAAGTGAGGGGTAGTAGTTTCCAGCCTCCTCCTGGATCTGGTTGCCTCTCACGCTCCTCCACACCAAGTGGATGCGACTCCTTAACCCTCCTGTTTTTTTCCACCCCTTGGCTTGCTTTGTTTGACGCCTTCGCAAACACCCACTCCATCTAGCACATCTCTTCTTTCTCGCCCGTCTTTGAGTTTTTGCATGTCTCCGTCTTGCTCTCTTCTCCACAGATCACTCCATCGTTCGCTCTAACCACAATCTCTCTGCTCATTTGCATTTTCTCAGGGTTCCTCTCCCTCCTTTTGTCTTTTTACAGTGCACTCTCATTATTTGGGCTCCGTTTACAATCTGAAGTTTCAGTATTTGTCTTTTCCTTCTTCCCTTTTGTCTATTTCCGTCAATTCTCTCTTCTGTCTCTCGGTGGCTTCTTTAATTTAAAGCACTTTAATGACTTTTCAGCTGAAACTAGCACCAATACTTAAACTGTACCACTTTTCATCTATTTATCCTCCTTCGTATTATTTATTTTCTCCCTCTGCTTAAGAAATTATTCATGTTTTCTTTGATGACTCTCCTAATGTTGTTTTTAGATTTCTCTCTCTCTTAATAATTTTGGCTTGTTTTGACTGCAGTGGCCTCTTTTTATGGAAGCTTTTACAAAATGCACACAGATTGACGTGCTAATATTAAAAATATCACAATTGTTCCTGGTTTCACACAAAAAGCATGGAAAATCAACAAGAAACAAAAGAAAAGTTCATATTTCAGTTGGCAGATAAGTGGACAATGACAAAACTGACTTTGACTTGATTATGCACCCTAATGGAGGAATTCATGTTTAATCTGAGTGTAAATTATAAATTAATTCAAAATAGTATAAAGTGTTTTGGTACATTCTTACTAAAAAATGTATTTGTTAGTATCTGTTGGTTAGCACAAAAACAACGTATTCACCTTTTTTATTAGACTTCTGAACACCAAATAACCATACAGGTCTGCACCAGTTACCTTATGTTGATTATTTTTGATGCATTCTAGTTTTTCACTTGCCTGACTTGTATGTTTGCACCATTCCACTGAAACAAATTTGCAGTAATGTGAGACTCTCACTTGGCAATAAACTTAAAAAAAAAAGTTTTTTTTTTAAGTTTTTAATGTTTCAGGACCACGGACAGTGCTCAGGTTATTACTAAAATCAAATTCTGACTCATGTGGTACTTCAGCTTAATGTAATTTTTTAAATTTTATATCAAACAACTTTAATTTATAATTCTGAGCAGCTTATTTTTTCATCTAGTTGTCTGTGATACATCCCGTTATCCACTCTTTGTTTGCCCGGCTTCTAAATCTTATTTTGGCAAAAAAAGAAAGAAAAAAAAAAAGGCAAAATTCTTCATTTATGATTACTTATTCAAGTTAACTTGATCTTTATTAAGTTGTGTAAGTTCGGTTTTATTAATATATTATTAGTAAAGATTAATTCAAAAGAGATCAGTTTACTCAAAAAAATAAAAAATAACAAGAAATATGAGACTAACCCTAAAGTTTTCTGTTAAAAAATACATTTTTAATAGTTTTCCCTACCTGGTATTGATTATTTTCAACATTTGGGTTTACAGTGTAGTTTTCAACTTATCAGGATAATTTTGAGGTTTGTTGTAGAAATGCCACTAAACAATCTCTGTTAGCATCAGAGAAGCAAGTTTTATGCTTTTGTTTTATTTTTGTCTTCTCCAGACAAAGACAAGCCTCTGGACTCTGATGAAGACTCCATGGGTTTAAACTCCGGAGGGCCCGGTGGGGTAGGAGGAACCCCAGCCTCCGGCCCGTTGCGACCCAACTCCCAGTCAGCTTTTCTGGGCCCACTGCTTTGGGAGAGAACCCTGCCATGTGACGGAGGCCTGTTCCAGCTGCAGTACATGGACCTGGAGGAGTTCCTGACTGAAAATGGGATGGGGATGCAGAACGGACCCAGCTCTACCAGCGCCCAGATCCCCTCCCAGGTAAAACCCTAAAACCATTTGCTCTAATGGATGTGCAACACCAGAATCCAAGATTTTGTATCTCTCAGATGTCATCCTCCCATGCTTGCTGGTTTCTTTGTTAGCCATTAAATGCTTCAATTCATTAGACATTATATCAACCCAACACTGCATTGGTTTCCAACACACTGCAAAAAACTGGCTTTTTGGATGAGAGAACGAGTGTTTTGATTGTAGTGTGAGGACATTTTAAAATGCCAACAGGACACTCAACACTTGAGTTCAGTTTTAGTGAAGTGATGACTCTACAGAGAGAGAATAAAATGTAATGCTTTTGTTAGTTTAACATGGTGTAATTTAAGTGAATTATGGTTTAAATTTACATGATCCTGCAGCTTTGCTCACATAGTCTTGTCTTATTTTGTGGATTTTTTTAAACAAGATCAAGTCCGATGGCCCGTTCTGTTCGTTTCTTATTAGTAGAAAACTTGCTGCATTAAAAAAAATGAAACCTGAAAAGTGGTCCTCAAACTATAAAATTGAAGTGCAAACTTTTTGGCTCATTTGGAAAAAGTACTAGCCAAAAAATATGACTTTTACCCTAAAACATGAATAGTGTCAAGTCTAACATTACTTATACTTTTGTAAAACCACCACCTCTTTAACAGAATTAATTTCCTCAAAAAACAGCTGGATTAAAACCTAAACCTGCCTGCTGCCCTCTGATGGTAGATCCAAGTACTGCAGATGCCAAGTGCCAATTTTATTTTATTTATTGCATATGCTATCTTTTGTATAATCACATAATGAACACACATAATTGTTGCATAATTTTGAGTTATTTTTTTCATTTTTCAAACTTTAAAGGGACTTAAGGTTTTGTTTTTCAGTTTTCAAAATTCATCTGACTGCTAGTGTAATTCATTACTTGCTGCTTATGTTTTAAATTGTCGTAATTTTAAAACATCTCAAAACAATCAGTAATTAACTCAAGTTCCTGTCAAAGTGAAAATTATTTCAAAGCTCATTAAAAAACAACACAGTTGGCCAGAGTTTGAATAAAAACAAGCAGAAAACATTCAAGTACATACAATAAAATCAACCTTAAAAAGATAAAAAATTCAATATAATGCATTGAAACTGTCTAAAAGAAGAAATTACAACAATGTAAGAACAACAACAACAACAAACTTGATGTGGGACTCAAACTGAACTAGAATTTAAGTCAAATGTAAAAAGGATGTAGAGAGATGTTTAAACATTTAAAGTTTGAACGTTTCTGCAGAGAAATGTGAAACGGAACAGTCAATTTAATTCAGCTAAAACTAGAATGATGCCTTCTTAAAAGATGAACAGCAGAATTCTGGACTAACTGCAAACAATAGAAAGAGGAATAATCCAGACCATAATACAACTAATTACAGTGGTCCAGTTTAGAAGTAATGAAGGCTTAAATGAGTGTTTGTGAGGCAGGAAGCAATCGTAAAACACTCCAAGATTTCCGACAGGTGTTCGAAAGAATCAGTTCCCTTGTTTAAACGATTTGCCAACATTTCTGCCCTGTTGCCATTTAGAGTCAGAACATTTGTAGACAGTCAGATTAACGGGGAGGTATAGACCTGAATATCATCTGCATAACAGTAAAAGCAAAATAATAATCCCAAAGATGTACAATAAGAATAGAATGGGACCTAGAACGCAACCTTGGGGTACACCACAGTAGGTGCAGAGGAAGAGAAAATTTTCCTCCATGGCTACAGAAAAATTCTTAACTTTCTTAGTTTTCTTCATATTACTGCTGCACAAAAATGTCTAATTTAATATCATGAAAATATCACTTGTGACGAACCTCCATAATTTTTTTTTGTTTCTTCCCAGAGTTCTCAGTCTGCCATCCCCAACCAGAGTTCCCAGTGTCCACCCACATCTCCACCCTGTTCCTCCTCTTCATCCTCCATGTCTTCTTCATCCTCCTCCTCCTCGCTTCTTGGACTGGAGACTGTCCAGCCACAAGCACCACCACCTCAACAGCAGCAAAGCATGATGGGAGGACCAGAGTGTCTTCAGGGTAAGTAATAAAAAACACGTTGGGGTTTTAAGTGGGTTACTAGACCAACAAGAGCAATTCAGTCAATAAAAAACAAACAAAACTGTTTTAAATATTCATTATTTGGGAAAAAACGTTAGATTTTTCTGTTGCCATTTGCAGTTTTATTCAATTTTGCCTGTGATTAGTGTTTTTTTTCACAGTTTACATTTAAAACAATACTTGATATTTAAAACATCAAGTTTTCCAAAAGAAAACGTGAAGCTACTGAGAAGTTTTGAACAAAACTAAAAATGACATCTTCACAGGAAAATGGGACATTTGTTCATCAGCTTCAACTCAGTTACACACGAAGCTGTGCGTGCAAAGGCTGAGATACAATCTGGCACTAATGAAGGCTCATGATGCATTAGCAAATTCAACCATTCGATGCCTCTAACAAAAAGCAGAGTAGGATATACTCTAATTTTATCTGTGCGATGAATGGTGGTCGCTCTGTTCCCTGACCCTCCTCAGCTCTCTCCTGCTGCCTGACTTTACCAGTTACATTTTCATAATTCATGGTTTCCTCTCTGTGCGGTTTGTGATATAAACCAGAGCTCCCAGAACACTTGAATGCATCTTTCTGTCTGTCTTTTATCTGTTTAGTTTAAAAGTCTCTGCTTTGGTTAGACTGGTGTTTTTTTTTTTTTTTACATTTATGATGATTTTATACATATTTTTTTCTGTTTTCTATTATAAGTAGAGATCACATTTTCTTTTGCCCCTGATATGAGCCCAAGTCATTTGATTTCTAGTGTCTGCCAAGTCCTGATCCAATACTTCAGCAATTCATTAAAATATTAAGAATAAAGAGAACACATCCAATTACCGTATTTATACATTTCTTTTTTCTGTATTTATGTTATTTCCTTAGTTTAACTTCCACAACACATCACTGGTTCAGGAAGTACATTGATAAGAAAACATGTTAATATCATTAAGATATTACTATTACTAGGAAAATAGCCTCGTCTTAGGGATGGGTACCGAATTCGGTACTTTTTAAGGTACCGACCGAATTCCATAGTACCGACCGAGCACCGATTCACTTCATTTCAAACGGTGCCTCGTTTCGGTACCCGTCCTTCACAACAAGAACTTGCCTAGACAGCTGCGCATGCGCAAGAGCGTTATGTCGTCGGTCGCTGCGAGCAAGTTGTAAACAGAGCAGCATGGTAGAAAGAACGCACGCTAAAGCTTGGGTCCACTTCACTAAATGTGATGGGTAACTGGGTGATGATGAAACCAGCGACAACGATCTAAGTGAGACATCCTCATCTTAATCTGCTCCGGTAGGTAAATAAAATGTTTAAGATAACGTTAGCTTGATTTGTTAGCTTCTGTTTTACTAATGGTGCGTTCGCTTTCTCCTCGGAACTCCGAAATTCCGACTAGAAGAACATGAACGCGCTCTAAAGTTTGGCTTCACCTTACTAAATGCGACGGGTGATTGGGTGAAGATGAAACCAGTGACAACGATCTAAGTGTGAGGCATCATCGTTTTAATCTGCTCCAGCAGTTAAATAAACTGTTTAAGATATCGTTAGCTTGGTATGTTAGCTTCCATTGCCACCATTGTTATCATCTAATGGTGCATTCGCTTTCTCCTTGGAAATTCTAACTTCCCAGTAGGAAAAATCAATTGAAAAAAGACGGCAAAAGGAATGAAGATACACAGTAAATTTAGTTCACAGTAAAGATGTTTGCTTCAGTTTAATTATCAGCTTATAAAACTACAAGGACGATGTTAAAATACAAACAGTTGAATGTTATTTATCGTGATATTTATCAAATATGGTTATAAATTGAGAAAAATATATATTTAATTATAAAAGAGAATTAAAAATATTAAACACTCAAAAGTATCTAAAATTGGTACCGTTAAGTACCGGTATCGATTCGTAGGTACCGGGAATTAGTACCGAATCGATTCAAATGTCAAAGGTACCCATCCCTACTCGTCATTCATCTTTCCAATAGTTTAAATTTTAAACACCATCTGGCAGGATTGAGCAATAGGCACTCCTGCGACAGTGCAGACAAGGTCATGGCCAGCAAGCTAGCTCTTCCCTGCACAATGCCTGTAGACTTGCGTTGGTAGTTAAGAGAAGGTAGCTCATACTGCAGCACCAGGAGACTGTAAAACCCAAAGTTTTGCAACCATAGACAGTCATCTTGTGTGAAAAGTATACTTCCAACTTGGCTGTGATCGGTTTTCTGTCTGTAGGCAATACTCTTGTTATTTAACGCGTTTTTCAGTGCTGGCTAGGTTTTTGTCCGAGTTTCTGCAGTGAACTTGGAGTTTGTTACAGGGTGTTTGTGTTTAAGGTAACATATTAGAACCAGACACCAACAGCTGGTTCATTTTTGTGATGTCTGAAGGGAAAAACCGAAAGAGAAAGAAGTTATTTGTGTTTTAAGGTGGCGTACCATGTGAAATGTCCAATATGCACACATAACAAGTGGCTGTTGTACGGCCTTCACTATCCAGATTAGAATACAATCAAACTGCAGACATTTTCGCTCTCCTGAGTTGATACTGTAGCTCAGCATTAGCCTGCTAGCTAACATGAGTCCCCCGCCTTAAATCGTTTGACGATCCTGTTGTTGCCGTCTCTGCGACATGAATTTTGATGTAATGACATTTTTTAAAATCAAAACCAACTTATTTTTTATTATGTTTGAAAATCTCTTCCTCAGGATGAATTTAATAGGCCATGCTTGTTGTTCTTTAAAAGTTATGTCCAATCTTTATTAGTATGATGGTTTGAAAATCATGGGACTGGACCCGATTGCCGATCAGACCAGAGTATCCCTAGATAGAAGGTTTAAAAAGTAATGTTGTGTGAACTGCTGTGATGTTATGGAACCAGTTGAAGACATCAGCAATTAGGGATGGGTACCTTTGACATTTGAATCGATCCGGTACTAAATCCCGGTACCTACGAATCGCTACCGGTACTTAACGGTACCAATTTTCGATACTTTTGAGTGTTTATTATTTTAATTCTCTTTCATAATTAAATATATATTTTTCTCAATATATAACCATATTTGATAAATATCACGATAAATAACATTCAACTGTTTGTATTTTAACATCGTCCTTGTAGTTTTATAAGCTGATAATTAAACTGAAGCAAACATCTTTACTGTGAACTAAATTTACTGTGTATCTTCATTCCTTTTGCCGTCTTTTTTCAATTGATTTTTCCTACTGGGAAGTTAGAATTTCTGAGGAGAAAGCGAACGCACCATTAACTGATAACAATGGTAGCAATGGAAGCTAACATACCAAGCTAACGTTATCTTAAACAGTTTATTTAGCTGCTGGAGCAGATTAAAACGATGATGCCTCACACTTAGATCGTTGTCACTGGTTTCATCTTCACCCAATCACCCGTCGCATTTAGTAAAGTGAAGCCAAACTTTAGAGCGCATTCATGTTCTTCTAGTCGGAATTTCGGAGTTCCAAGGAGAAAACGAACGCACCATTAGCGAAACAGAAGCTAACATATCAAGCTCATTATATTTACCTACCGGAGCAGATTAAGATGAGGATGTCTCACTTAAATCCTTGTCGCTGGTTTCATCATCACCCAGTTACCCATCACATTTAGTGAAGTGGACCCAAGCTTTAGCGTGCGTTCTTTCTACCATGCTGCTCTGTTTACAACTCGCTCGCAGCAACCGATGACGTAACGCTCTTGCGCATGCGCAGCTGTCTAGGCAAGTTGTCGTTATGAAGGACGGGTACCAAAACGAGGCACCGTTTGAAATGACGTGAATCGGTGCTCGGTCGTTACTGTGGAATTCGGTCGGTACCTTAAAAAGTACCGAATTCGGTACCCATCCCTATCAGCAATCCACCTGAGATGTGCTCAACCTAGCCGTTAGCTCATCCATCCTACTGAATGTATTGGGCTGTGCATATCCCTTTATAATTAATGTCATATCCTGATCACAAAACATTGACTTTTTTTTAGTAAATTCAGTGAAAAGTCTAAATTGTCACCAAACAAAAATTAGTATTTATTTTTGTTATTCAAATGAGAAAACCGTAGATGAAGCAGAAGTGAAGCATTCCAGCAGTTTATGGAAATGCAACAAACATTTTCATCTAATGCACATTTGGTTTGGAGTTTTTAGCCCCAAAACAAATCTCTGCCTGTTAGCTCAGCTGGTCTGGTCCAGTTAGATTGTCACAAAATCCAGTGAGTACTATGAGCTCTGTCTGTGAAAAAGGCTGCTGAAAAAATACAGAACACCAAAATAGTAAAGTGGCTCACAAAAAATCCTGACAATCTAACTGAAAGCTAAAAGCAATGACAGAAACGGGTCACGATCTTCAGCGTTTTTCCATATTATTCACCAGCTACTCATGCACTGCTGTAATTGCTCTTCATGGTGAACAATTTAACAAGCATGAGACGGATGTAGCACTGTTGGTGAAGGGTGGTCACACAAACGTAGTTAAATTATATCACTTATATATTTTAATTTATGTTTAACATATTTGTGATCCATTTCAGTGTAAATACACAAGTCAGTTTTGAATTTGCCCTCATCTTCTGCTGCTCTCCTATTGGTTTTGTCTTTAACGAAGCGAGTCAGTCAACGCAGAAAAATAAAATGACATTGAGAGAATTGACACCCAGCAGGATCAGTTTCTATGAAATTTACCAGGGACGCTGTGTTTGTCTTTTTAGTATGAGTCCTAAACAATGGAGATAGACATTTGTGTGAGCTGCAGAGATGTGCAAGAAAAATAAAACAGAAAATGAGATGCAGAGGAAGAGAGATGCACGAGGGAAAGCAGCGCAGGTTCAACCAGGACAGAGAAGCTGCTACTGCTGCAAGTCTTCTTTTCTGCCTCCAGTGCTTCTGCAAGAGTCCATGAATACACTCCATCAGTGTGTGTTGTTAAAAACGTCTTTATGAGTGCATGCTTGTGTTTTGTGTTTGCAGAACTCCGCGCA